GGAAATTGGGATCTTCTCTCTGTTCCTCTTGCCTCAATACCTACATATAATTTCTCTCTGCTCCTCTACCTCAATACCTACACATAAGTTCTTTCTGTTCCTCTTCTCTCTGTTCCTCTTGCCTAAGTTCCTACCCATAATTCCTCACTTTTTCCCCCTCTGTTAGCTTCTCCAGAGTCCACACAGAGACTTCTTCTTGAGCTTCAACATCCTCAAGGTGTCATTTTGTTCCTCTGGCTAATGTGCAAGAGATCACTTGGATTTTCTAGGATACTCTTCCAAGGATTTATCTAAAGATGGCTTTGAGACCTACATTCTTCCTTGAGTAATACTGAGATGGTTGTTTCCCCAAATCTTGTTCATGGCCAGTACAACCACAAGCAGATTGTCCACATTCCTGTCCACAGGAGCTGCTGTAACCATGATCCCATCATGAATTCCAGTCATGTTGTATAAAGCAGAGGAAATTTGACCCTCAGAACGATGTTTTTGAGGGATGAAGTCGCTGCCTGTGTTCATTTTCACCACACAATACGTGCAGGACCCTATCCCTGCGTGCACAGCCATGTACAGTGCACAGGAGGAGATTCCCCGTTCTCTGGAATTAATTTCCAGTGGATGTCTCTTTTCTGCTGTGCGTTTGAACTCTTTATTCTTTGTCCATTGTAAAGGGCTTAACGGTTCCTGTTCCTTGATTCTTTCATTAGTGAAATGTTTTGGAAGAGAGGTTAGAGTCCCCCTGTGACCTGCCCTGGGTGGCCCAAGGCTGTAGACCTTGCAAAGACATTACTTTTTTGGCCTGAACACAAGGCTCTCAAACCTTTAGCCTGGCTAAATGCTTTGTACAAACAGCCTCATACTGATCCGCTCTATTCTCCTGTGATTTTCTGCTCAAGGGGCTGTACTGTAGGTTGCTTGCTGTGTTTGCCACTTGCCTTGGTAGTGAAGACAGTACAATAAACGAATCCGACAGTACTGAGGCCAACACTGTGCTTCGTTGTTCCAAGAAAATTATCCTGAAATCTGGTTGAAGAGATTAAAACCAAGAAGAACTGGCTGTGTCTTTCCTCTAAAGCTCTGTTCTCTTCTTTGTTTCTTCTTTATTCTTTAAGACTTTGTTCATTCCTCCTTCAGAGTAAGTTTGTGGCATTGGTATGTAAAGTGTGACCTATGATTACGGCTATTTTTATAACAACCATGGGGTGAAGCATTGCATTCATTCCTCCTTGGGCTCCTCACAGCCAAGGGCTGTAGCTGCTCTCTTCGAGCATTTGAGCCTTATTCTTGGTCTCATTTCTACTGTGAGACAAATAATATCAGCTTGTATGTCATTTCATTGCTTGAATTTGATCATAGAATCATCAAGATTGGAGGAGATCTCTGAGATCATCAAGTCCAACCATTAACCTGTCACTGCTGTAACCCCTAAACCCTAATCCATACCCGCCAGCTCTAGATCCAGACACCTCTTAAACACTTCCAGGGATGGTGACTCCACCACCTCCCTGGGCAATCTATTCCAGTGCCCGACCATCCTAGTTGGAAGGGACCTTAAGGATTATCTACTTCCAACCCCTGCTGTGGGCAGGGACACCTTCCAGTAGAAGGTTCCAGTGCACTGTTGATGCAGTAGACAATCTTCTTTTGATGAGAATTACTGTTCAAATAAGTGTTGGGTCAATGTGTGACCATCATAACACGCAGTCTTAAAAGAGCTGTGTCACTGCAGAACTCTCCCAACCTTCCTCACACATCTTCCTTAGGAATCATAGAATCCCAGATGAATTTTGATTGGAAGGGACCTTAAAGATCATCTCATCTAGTTCTAACCCCCTGCCATGGGCAGGGAACAATGGGAAGGGACAATAGAGACAGCTAAAGATGAACTGATTATGAACAACCAGGTCTTGGGATGAAATCTGTCTTGGGATGAAATCTGTCTTGAGTTGCTCAAAGGCAGGTGACAGCAGTGATAAATTCACAAGTCTTGTGCAAACATTCCAAACCTGGTCACAGTCATTTTCTCATGAGGGTTTGGAGTTCATGCTTTCGGGAAGATCCTAAATTCCACAGCTCCATGTGTGCTTCTGAGTAGATTTCTAACAGCTGAAAAGCCCTAAATCCAAAATAGAAACTCGCTTTCACTGCAGTCCTGTCAGGCTTTGTTTTCCAGTGTTTCTGCAGTTATAATCAGGAACATGGTGTGATCCCATCCATAGAGGGTAGGACATCATGGTTGAGTACCTCAACCCAAGGATGTCTGTGACACTGAATCACACAGGAGAGTTTTATCTCTTCAGAGGATGCTCTACACTATTTCTCACATCGAAGTACTTGTAGCCTCTCAGGTATGTGCTGTTCCAGAGTTGGGGGTTTTAGGATTGATGTGGCTTTGGGGATAATTTTTCCAGATGAGACAGTGGGGTGCAGAGTGTGTGTGTAAAGATGATTTATCCTTTGCAGATCAGAGTCAGAAGTCTTGGGTTGTTCCTCCCTTGCATGTGGTGCCTCAGGCAAGCTGCAGGCAAGTTTTATAGCAAACGTGCATGAAAATGATTTAACAGTTAGAATTAATTGAAACAGTTTTTGAGGGATAAATGTGAACTCACTTTGGGCTGTTTGCAGCCTGAATATTGCAGGGTTGGGCAGGGAAATTGGCTGGAAGCTGAGCAGCTCTGAGCTCATAGAATCATGGAATGGTTTAGGTTGGAAGAGACCTTTAAGATCATCTCATTCCCATGGGCAGAGATGCCTTCCACTAGACCAGGTTGCTACAAGCCACATCCAACCTAACCTTGAACATTTCCAGGGATGTGGCACTCTGGGCAAGCCAGTCCCTCACCACTCTCACAGGGAGGAGCTTCCTCCTAATAATCTCTGTCCATCATGTGCAAAACTCTTTAGGCACAACCATGGGTGGTTCCTCCTGCCTTTGATTCATCTTTCTCTATCCAAAATCCAAATGTGAACAATCAATTCTATAATTTCTCTTTTAACTTTTTATGTTATTCATCCCTAGTAGTAATACTGGATAAAAGTAATGATTCTCACAGGGAGGAGCTTCCTCCTAATAATCTCTGTCCATCATGTGCAAAACTCTTTAGGCACAACCATGGGTGGTTCCTCCTGCCTTTGATTCATCTTTCTCTATCCAAAATCCAAATGTGAACAATCAATTCTATAATTTCTCTTTTAACTTTTTATGTTATTCATCCCTAGTAGTAATACTGGATAAAAGTAATGATTTTCCAGGTTGTTTGTTCTTTTCCTGCAGCAGTTGTCACTTGACTGATGACTTTAAGGATGAGCAATGGTTTCAATCTCAGTGCTCTTCTGGTGTCTGAGACTATTAAAAAGAAAAGCTGTGGATGCCTGGAACTGGTTGCTGTGCCCCTGGAGGTACCCTTGTCTGTGTTGAAGGATGTTCTCCCTCCCAAGGTCTTAATGGAAGGTGGAGCAGGAGAGCTGACAAATAACCTTCCTTTGCTTCCCAGAATGTAGGCAGTGGAGGAACAGGGCTGAATCCTAATGTCTAATTCATTGGTCTCTTCTCATTAGAGCCATGGGAGCTGCTCCTAGGATTGGGTTACTCTAGAAAACTGGGAGTGTGATGATTTATTTTCCTTCTTTTGAAGCATTTGCTTGAAAATGGCATACCTTTTGAAAGGAGAAGCATTCAAGGAGGCATGCAATGGCATGAAATGACTTTGTCCATTAGTACCTCTGATCAGTCATGGAGACATAAGGCAAAATCCTCCTTCCTTATTGCCAAGCCATTCTTAATCCTCATCTTTGTGGAGTTTTAGGAGCTTGTCAAGGTTTCCTGTATGGTGAAAACCAGGATAGTTGGGTGGTAATGGGCCATATACACGCAAAATCTGCGTGTTGGTGTCTGTTTTCCCTCCCTTCTTCCTTTCTGTCATGACGCTTGGTTTCATCTCAAGAAAACATTCAGCCTGCAGCATCTGCAGGAGCAGTGAAACTCAACCAAAGGCAAACACTCCCTCTTGAGTCTTTCATGAAGTCGAGTTGTGGCTTCACAAATTAGGTCCCCTCAGTGATGAAAGAGGAGACAGGAGATAAAGCTGTAACTAAAGAGGGTGAAAATGAAGTGAAGTCGGACAAACCCAACCTCAGGCGTATCTTCAAAAGACACCCTTGGATATGTGTCGGCTTCATGGGCACTACCAAGGAAAAGCTGTTAAATGCCACGGAAGAACTAAGGTCCTCTAACATGGCTTCATTCAAGTGGTTTAGATTTGGGGTAAAGAATGGATTAGAAGAAAAATGAATGACCGAAGTATGAAACTTTGGCGAGATCACCCTGGAAGGAGATAAATGTGGCCTTGGAAATATTCTCTTCGCTTCAGAAGCCAGCGTTATTCACTTGGCAGATGTCTTCATCCAGCAGAAATAAATATGCCACCCGATGGCCACAATCCCTCCCATTCGGGCGAGCGGCCGCTGGCAAGAGTGTGCCACTACCAGATCATGCAAATCATCTGCTGCCGAATAACTAATGCCGTGGCCAGGCATATTTTTTTGATGAATGCTTCTGGGGCCTGGTGACAGGCGTGAAATTAGAAAATTCCTTCAGCGCCCTAAAATATAAATAGCTTTCGGAACTGAAAGGGGTTTCACAGCTGAAGATTTTATTGTGTGGAGAGGAAAAACTTTTCCACCCCCATCCCCCCCTTTCTCCTGGGCGAGTTGTTTGTCCGTTCACAAAACAAATACTCTGGAGCCCAGTGCGGCTCATGGGAATAAATTTCAGGTCGAATTAGTACAGTTTCCTTGCTGTCAGGACGGTGGAATTAATGGTGTTTTGATGACACGAATTTTGAAGGGCAAACAAAGACACTGAAGGGAGGGAGACATGACTCCTTAGAAGCGTGGTCCTCCTCTCCCCCAGCCTCTCTTGTCTTCCCTGTCATCCGTCTGCCAATCTCCCTGTCCATGGTTAGTTAAAGGCGCTTTTTATCCTCTTTTCTTTCCCACAGAGTTTGCCAGATCCGGCCCAGTGCCTGGGTTCCAAGGGGACACGCTGCAGTTGGCCTTCATCGACTTGAGACAAGTAAGTCTTTGTGTTTTTGTTTTTTGTTTTGCTTTTAAGATGTGTGACTGAAGACCATCAGGTCTTAAGGGAAGGGAGAGGAGGGGAAACGGCGTCAGTGATTTACGCCAGAGACCTATATTTCCCCCCTCCTCCTCCTCTCTGCGCTCGAAGCCACCTCCTTATTGAGCACTCCTGGAGATGGTGGAGGTGAAAAGGGCTGGTGGGATGGGGGCGAGGAAGAAAGCCAGGCCTGACCCTGGCCGATGGGGCCCATTGTGCTTGGGTTGGCTTCTGCAGACGCGGCGAAAAGATAACGCGGCAACTCCGCGGGCTGACGCCAAGCAGGTGGTGTGAACAGAGAGAGCAGTGATGCAGAGACCGCCCGCCTTGGGGACTTTTGTTCCCAGAGAATGCCCCCAGAGGCGTTGTGCGAGGGTGAAGGAATTTGCATTTGCCTGTGTGCGTGCCCGTTTGTGTCCCTCTTCGGATCGGCCACCTCCCCCCTCCCTGGTCCCCTCTTCTGCAGGTGGTCCCCAGCCAGGAATCACAAAGTGACTGTTGGGGAAGATGACTGGGGAAGGCTCCACCCATCAGTGGCCACCTCTTGAGGGGGCCCTGTTAGAGCCAAGTTGACCATAGCAGGTACTGAGGCATCTGTGGGGCTTGGCAAGCCAATTTAGGGAGAAAGGCCATTCTAGCGAGTCATTTGTTTGGGGTAGAAATGGGCATTATTGACACACTAGGCCGGGGGGAAAAGTGAGGTGGTCCTGTCATCTCTTGGCACTGAAGATGGATGGGTTGGATAGAAAGTCTGAATGAAGTAAGACTCAATGACTGATGCTTCTCTCCTATTAAAACAATCTTTTTTTGTCTGTTGAACCCCTCTGGCATTGTCCCTCCTGCCATCATGATGCAGTGCCTCTTGTCTGCAGGGTTGACGTAGTTTGCATTCTGAAAACTTTCGGGTGCTGAGGGTATTCCTTCAATCTGCATAATCCCTTGTATCGATGAGCTTCTGACCACTGGGACTCTGATTCATGCTGGAGTTGCTTTTAACCCGTAAGGGTTTGAGAACTTCTCCAAATCCAATTTATGTGCAGGGAGTAATCTGTCATCCCATGACACTTCTGCAGAGCTGCAAGAAGTGTAATAACGTTGAGGTGTTGTGCCTTCACTTTTCAGTCTTGGGCCTGCCAGGAGCTGCCAAATTTGTCTGCAAAGTGGTCGAAATAGCTCCATGGGAGAGGTGTATATTATCATCACACTGCGTTGACACTTTTATCTTCATTAGCTTCTTGGCACTTTATTGACTGCAGGACACAACGCGCCTGCAGCCTCCTGGGTATAAGGAAATGTGGAGGCTTTGGGCCTTTTCCAAGCACTAAGACATGAATGCAGGGAGTCTGAAGAGGAAAGCTGTGGCTGTTTGAAGAATGAAATGCCTTAAAAGTGCTTGGTGAGGTTCAACTGTGCCGAGGCAGGGAAATGTTTGTACGGTTCATAAGAGTAAAATGAAGCCAAATGAATTCAGCTTGGGTGAGGAGAAAGCTGAGCAAGAGCCCTCTACAATCTTCCTCCTCTGTCAAGTGCTTGTCTTTGTACATGGTATTTTCTACTTTGTTTTGGAAGGTAGTCCCAACTTAACTTCGTGCATTTAAAAAGAGCAAAGACTCTGAATTTCAAGGCCAGTTTGGATGGATTTGGATGGCAATCTGATCTAGTGGAAGGGATCCCTGCCCATGGTGGGGACACTGGAACTAGTTGATATTTGAGGTCCTTTGCAGCCCAAACCATTCTATGAATTGTAAGGAGAAGGAGGAGATGCTCTGACTTGTTGAGTATCAGATGAGGACAGGCAGTCCTGGATCTTCTGGATAACAGGAATGCTTGTTGATGCCAAGTATTGTGCAGATAATGGACTATAACTCATTGCTCCAAATAGAGAAGGATCAACCTATCACTGCCTTACCAAGATTAGCAATAAGGTGCAAAGATGAGATAGTTCCCAACTCTGCATGTCCTGTCAATGACCTTTGTGTCGCCAAACTCCATCTGTGTGAAGCTCTGCTGGCTGCTGTATGGCCATCAGAGCTCCAATGCTCCCACCACTGTGGTGCTTCTTGTTGGACTGCAGCTCTAACTGGAGCAGGGAGTAGCTGGAAAGGTGGATGGATGAAGGTACAGCAAGGAGAGATCTCTGATTTGTTCTTCAGCATGTCTTTTTGGACATTGTATTCTTTCTCTTTTAAGCCACTAAATTAAACTGGAATAATGTAGGTTTAAGTTAGATGTTAGGAAGAAATTCTTCCCTCTGAGGGTGCTGAGACACTGGCATAGGTTGCCCAGAGAAGCTGTGGCTGCTCCATCCCTGGAAGTGTTCCAGACTAGATTGGAGGGGCCATGGAGCAGTCTGGTCTAGTGGAAGGTGTCCCTGCCCATGGCAGGACATGGAAGAAGATGGTCTGTAAGGTCCTTCCAGCCCAAATCTGCCTCGGATTGTGTGAAACATTAACACAGTATTGACTTAAAAGATACAACCTGAAAGTGTTTGTGTTTCTGGCTGTTCTCCTTCACTCAGGAGGGATGAGGTGGTGAAGGGATGTTTCCAACCTGAAATCCAGATAGGCTTCTTGGAATGTTAAATGTCATTTCCGGTTCATATTTCAGGTAGGTTTATACTTCCTTTGGAGCTGTTGCATCAATTAATTAGTGTATCTTTGCACAAGCAGGCAGAAGTGGTCTGACGTGGTAATGTAGGGAGGAAAAATGACTGGGCAAAAATCATAGAATCATAGAATGTTAAGGGGTTGAAATGGTCCTTAAAGATCATCTAGTCCCAGCCCCCTGCCCTGAGCAGGGACACCTCTCACCACACCAGGTTGCTCAAGGCTTTATCCAGCCTGGAATGAACACTGCCAGGACTGGGGCATCCACAGCCTCCCTGGGAAACCTGTGCCAGTGTCTCACCACCCTCACAGCAAAAAACATCTTCCTCGAATCTCATCTAAATTTCCCTCTTTCACTTTATCCCCATCACTCCTTGTCCTGTCACTGCAGTTCCTAGCCAAGAGTCCCTCTCCAGCTTCCCTGGAGCCCCTTCAGATCCTGGCAGGTTGCTCTGAGGTCTCACACAACCTTCTCTTCTCCAGGCTGAATGGTCCCAACTCTCTCAGCCAGTCTTTGTAGGGAAGGTGCTCCAGTCCTCTGATCAGCTTCGTCGCCTCCTCTGAACTTGCTCCAACAGTTCCATGTCCTTCATGTATTGGGGACACCCAAATGTACCAAAGTAGGGAGAGTAAAGAGAGAATAAGGAGATTAAAGAGATTTTCCCTCCCTTCCCAACATATTCAAGTTCTGTCTGTTACAGAACAACTGTAGATCAGAGACAGTTTACAAGGTGATGTTGATTAAGTTTAAGGAAATGATCAAAATTAATTCTTAGTACAATAAAATATAAAATGGTTGAAAAATGCAGTGATTTGGTTTGTGTCTTGAACACAGATCCTTGTAGTGGGAAATTAGCCCTATAAAGATGTCATTGTCTAGGGCCATCAGAATTCCTTCTTGTTCAGTGCAGTAGACTCAGGTGTTAGTTCATTGAAAGCCTGATTTTCCCCTTGTCCTCAAGGAAATTGGGAGCAGCTCCATCACCTAAAGAGGAAGAATCAAGCCCAGAGAATCAAAATCACTATTCCAAGCAGATAGTAATTTTAAAAGGGCCTTTATTTCCCATGCTGGGACAATTCTAAATGCATAAACACCTTTAATGAGGTGCTAAAGTAAACCAAGTCACATCTCAAATCCTTCTGTGAGAGTGGGACTCAGATATTTGAGGCTTTACGAGGAAGCAAGTTATTTTTCCCCTTGAAGTCTAAACGTTGCTCTTACATACTCACTGCTGTATGTTAGAAATCTGAAATTAATTTATTCCACAAATAACTTTGTTGAAATATGAAATAATTGAGTCTTCTGCATCTTGATTTCAAACTGACCGAATACCATTGAATGTCCAAAACCCACTGAAGATCTCCAGGAGCTTTCAGATCAGCCCCAAGCCTGCAGAGGCAATCAGTTCCCTGTTCTCTCTGCAGCTTCTGGCCAGCTGGAAATGGTTTAGCTGTTCTTTTTCATGGGTTTATTATAAGCAAGTTAGTGAAAAGGAAGGTTTTATGTTTGCCTGTGAAGTTGCTGCAATCCACAGCCGCACTGATCTCTCCTAGAAGCCAGATCGACACTCGTGGCCATCTGCCAAGGCAAATCTGTCTCCAGCACTCGAAGAATTCCACTCTGGGCTGTAGTGAGGGAAAGTACTCGATGGATTACAGTTCCTTGCTCTAGGCCTCTCCACCCATCCAGTGAATTATAAATCCTCTGTGTTGAATTTCCTCTGCAAGTGCAAACTTCAGTGTTGAGGGAGATTTGGAGGCAGGCAGGAGGGAGTCTGTCTGGTTGGATGCATGTGGACGTGCAATGGATGAGGATGGGGAGGTTGCACTCTTCTCCTCCATCATTTTTCTGGTTTACTTTATGACTGTGGGTTTGAATTTGAGAATTAGCTCTCCAAAGCTCATCAGTTAGGTTAAGACAGACAAGATCAGGTTTACATTAGATACTAGGAAGAAATTCTTGTCTGTGAGGCTGATGAAGCACTGGCACAGTTTGCCCAGAGAAGCTGTGGCTGCTCCATTCCTGGAAGTGTTCCAGGCCAGGTTGTATGGGGCTTGGATCCACCTGGGATAGTGGGATGTGTTTTTGCCCATGGCAGGGGGATTGGAACTAGGATGAGCTTTAAGGTCCTTTCTCATCCAAACCATTCCGTGATTCTGTGCTTATTGCTTGTCCTATAGCAAAGATTTTGTGTGGATCTTTCCTGCGTTGGAAAAACAATTGTGGTTATTGTTATCCAGGTTGGATAAAGTCTTGAGCAACACCTGGGATAGTGGGATGTGTTTTTGCCCATGGCAGGGGGATTGGAACTAGGATGAGCTTTAAGGTCCTTTCTCATCCAAACCATTCCG